GTCCCCCATCCAGCAACAAGTGCAGCCCCCTGTCAGCGCCACCCTGCAGAAGGAGGCAGACCAGCCTGACTGACGTAAGTAGTGTGGACAGATACAATTTCAGCCTGGCAACACAGCCAGGATCTGGCAAACCTTCTCTGTGTTTACCTAAAGGCTAAGCAAGCTGAGCCCAGACCTCACCTGCTGGCCTCAGTGGTTGCCATGAATGCTCACATAATCCCACTAAGTCCATGCAAACCCAGAGCTGCTTCTTGTGCTAAAAGCTTCGAGTCCCTCCCTTGCACTAAGACCTCTACTCGATTAAGAAACTGTTTGTGCGACGATCAGTTTTTCCATGGCAACTTTGCATAACTCCATTCTGCAGAGGAAAGTTCCCACCCGACACACACACAACCCTTTCATTTCTTCTCCTACTGTTTCAGCATTTTATTGTTCATCAGCACTCATTTTATGCCTTAAAGCGAATTCCTGTGTCACAGTCTTTATGATAAGATATACACTGTTAATATATGATGTTTGTGGGTTGGGATGTAACCAATACATTTAACTCGTAGTATTTTTGACGACACTGAGGTGTAGCCAAGTTATAGTGAAATCAGTTATTTGGCTTTGATTTTACTTGTCCTTAGTTCTGTCTGCTAAGATTGGCTTAGCTAAACTGGTGTTAGCGGCAGAAGAAAAACAGCCGTTGCAGGCGATAGTTTTTACATTTAGTTATTACTGTGGCATTAATTATAAATTCGGATTCTAACATTCAAAGTAAAGATTTCGTCCCCTTTGATATGAAAGACTTGAAGGACAGGTTTGTTGGAGAAGCCGCCTAATCGGACAAACATTACCGAGAGGATCGTGGACAGTGTCTGTGACTGAATCTTAGAACTAGGACATTTTTACTGACAAGCAGGTAATAGTTTTATTTTATCAATAAATAATATAATTTAATATACACACTGTATATTGGGATCCAAATCAGTAATCTGGGTAGGAATTTAGGCAATAAAATTGCTCCTTCATTATTCCAATCCTTTACTTAAATAAAAGTACTAATACCACACTGGAAATACTCTGTGACAAGTAAAAGTCCTGCACTGACTGAAAATGTTTCTTAAGTAAAAGTATAATCAAGAAAATGTATTTAAAGTATTAATAGTAAAAGTACTAAATGCAGAAATATGTCCTCTGTGACTGTTATACTATTATATATCATCATATCATTAATTTATTGTCCTGCATTAATGGAGAAGCAGGATTTTATTGTTGTAGTTGTTTAACTCTTTTGTATAGGACTGCAACTAATGATTATTTTACAGTGCTTTGCTTTGTCAAACAAATATTACGAACCCCAAAAGAATTAAATATGAATCAAAATAATTGAAATAGTTAAAAAGGAAAAACAGCAAATGTTCACATTTGAGAAGCTAAAACCATGAAATGTTAAAAAATGACTGATTATCAAAATAGTTGCCAATAAATTTTCAGTCAATAGATTGATCAGCTAATAATTTTAGCTGTACCTGTATATACTGTTGGGTAGTTTAATTAATACTCCACATTTTGGAAGCTTTTTGTGTCTTTTGTGTGCAAAATGTTTAAAGTAACTAAGGTTAAGTAACAATATTTACCTCTGTAATGTAACAGAGTAGAAGGACAAAGTGTCATGAAAAGAAAATACCCAAGTAAAGTACAAGTGCTTCAAATTTAAAGTACAGTACTTGAGTAAATGTACTTTACCACCCTGAGCTCCTTTATGCAGATTTTGGCTGTTGACTCTAATCACCAAACAATGACTGAGATGTGAGGCAAAATTTTTAATGTGATATTTTTAGCACTGTTGTGATGACAGTCACAGCTCTTGTGTTTGTTTTTTTCCATTGTGTGGCAGGCATCCCCGTGTGTGAGCGGACACTCTGCATCATGGACGATTAGTAGGAAAATATAGATACACCATCGGGGATTCATTAATGGAGGCTGTTTCCCTCCACAATGGGGTAATTCATTTATGACGTCCCGTGCCGTGAGACGATGAGGTCATTTTATGGATTCTTTCAGGGTGGACGTCAGACGTGAATGGTGAGAACACGCAGTGGTCCTCTGCACGGCCACCCCTGTAGAAACACACACACACCATATAGATACAGGACCACCACAGGATTCACACGGTTGAGCCCTCCTTCAGTTCCTAAAATTTAAACACATAATTTATAGCTCACATAGAATAAGAACAGGGCTCTCTGTATGTGTGTGTGTGTGTGTGTGTGTGTGTGTGTGTTGGGGGTGTGACAAGAAGGGTCATCGACCTTTGTGACATGACTAAAATCCCCATGGGCCTAATTCAGCATTGGAATGGACCCCACAGCGCAATGGGAAGATGCCTCTAACATAATGAACACAAAAGCCAATTGTGACGCTATTCTCTGCAGGGCAGAAAGCAGTGGGCCCCGGGGACAGTAGAAGGTTTTGTTGGCTGAAACGGAGAAGGAAGCCTGTTGCTTCAACAAGCCTCTGATAAGATTCATCAGTGGTGACTCAACAGTGGCAGTTTGTCTCCCAGGGCGCAAAGTGTTAGATTTACATCCACTGTATTTATATGCACTTGTTGACTGAAGTGCTGACAAGTGACTCTCATAGAATCAGTGTCTTTTATGTGTTATAGTATCTCCCCAGATATTATACAATGTCCCTTGTGTTTTAACAATGCACACAGAGTGACAATCAGTAAGCAAACAGAGCAAACGCTACATTGGATGACTTTTAGTGCCTAATAGATTCTCAGTTTCTGAAAGATAGCATGCCACTCCACTTTCTTTCACTTCCTTTGATGTATAGGAATAAATATTTACCCTTCGTGCACTTGTATGTGATATTGTTAGCTTTTTGATAAAAGGCTGATGAGAGGCTGTTTAAACAACCTTTAAAGTGGACTACAGTGAACTCCGTAAACCCTTATACTTCTGGTAAATTTCCACCTGAGGACGCTTTAAAGCAGTTGTGCAGTGCCATCCAGCCAATTTGAGCCAGGCTCCCATCAGTTGACAGCCATGCACGTTAATCTTGTCTCCGGAGTCTCTGCCTCTCCCCTCACCCGACAGCTCGATAACAGAGGGGACAGAAAGACGAAGACAAAGCCAGCATCGGCAACAAGGCGGCAAACAAATGCTAACACTACTGCTACCGCCAAAAAACGCCCATCCCCACAATTTATTGCCCTTTTCTAAGACTTATTCAACGTTTTCATCATATACCGACCCGCCAAACCCCCTGCCAAAAGACCCAGAATGTGTCTATGTGATGGGGTGGGGGATTAAAAAAACGAAGCAACACGATCGGCCCTTTCTTTTTCTTAAGAAAGACTAGAAATGAAGCATTGTGCACGTCCGCTGCACTGGCATATTTGAAAGGTCTGGCCCGGCTGCTTTTGTGTCACCAGCATAAAGGGAATTGAGGGAAAACACAAACTGAACCACTGTGCCGTTGTAGCTCTGGCTATTAGTCAACGTGACGGCCTTTGCAGATGCTAATGGTGTATAGTGTGTCCTGGCCGGCCTCCCTCCTCCCAGAACGTGGCTATCTGATAGCACAAAGGCCTTCAGCTGGAGGTTGACTTTTCCCCCTTTCTTTTCACAGCTGCTACAAAGTCATTAGGCTTTTTTCCACTCCTTTCCTCTTGTTTTTAAAGAAAATGGGAATCTAATAGCCGCACAGAAAACAGAAAGTTGACATGAGGCAGTTATCTCCATGTGTAAAGCCTCAGGTGATGGTAGTGAGGATGAGGCCTGCCCCCCCGACCCCTCCTGCCTGAGCAATGTGGAGATGAAGTAACAACCATGGTCTTGTGAAAGAAGAGGATGCCCAGGAGTGGAGGACCTCTGGACTCTGACTTATTAATCAGTCAAGCCCTCAGCGGCTTGCCTGCCTCGGGCTGCAACACGTCTTCAGCTTGCCCTGGGTTGAGATAACAGCCTGCAGAGTTAAATATTCACTCTGAGGGTTTGCCCAGACCTGGAGAAGAGGCCACATCACATTAGCACACAGGTTACTGCATCCATCCAGCTGCAGGATTACAGCAGACTGTGATGGAAACACACCTACATGAAACAAGGCATCAAAGGTGATTGCCTTTAACTTGCCAGCTTTTTATTTAACAGAAATGATTAAACAGATCGTCATGAAATGTTGTATAGACATTCATCATCAGAGGATGATCTGTTCATGCTGTGGTGATCGCTGAACCGTTCCTCTGGCAGCATCATCAGGTCCAAATTTTTTTATTTGTCCAACACTCAAAGCTAATTCACATCAGCTGTAGGATTGTGTAGCAAATGTTAGAATGCTAACACAAGCTGATGAACATAAACAAACATTACAATATTGTCATTGTGAGCATGTTAGCATTTGGCTCGAAGCACGGCCTCACAGAGCTGCTAGCATGGCTGTAAACACTTTATTTTGAGGTTCAATGCTCATTCTAGACAGTCTATGTTCTAGAGAACCTGATAAAATAATTATACCACACCGGCCCCCTTAGTAGATGTTTTGTCACATGACCTTCATCGGTAAATGGAATCTGCACAGTTGTCACAGAAATGTAGATAATCAACTTTTTATAAGCCTTGAAGACTGTTTAGTACGGTCAGCTGTTTTCAAGGCCAATAATGATGTTTGAACCTCAACTTTTAAGCTGACATGGCCAGTTAGTCCTTAACATGCTTAACATTTCCATGACTGGACAAACTTGACAAAGCTTGCTGAAGAAACGCATATATGGTTGGAAGCTCCACAAGAACTACTGAATGGAACCAGAGGAGATGTTTTGTCATCTTTCTTCATTTTATGAGTTTCTCACTGGCTAAAATTTACGTAAATGGATATTGTTCAAGGCACCATTCAAAAAAACTGCTAATATCAAGCTGGATGAAAATGCACTCAGCAGCAGGCAACTTCAAATGTATAAATTTGAACCGATTTAACTGGCTGGACAAGCTGACACATCATGAAAAAGGTCATTTTTATTTGTCAATTTTATTTTCAATTTTCTTCTTTTAAACACAAATTTAATAAATAAAGCACAGCTGATGGAATACACCATGCAAACATTACTTTCTACAACATAAAACATCTCTTTGAACCAACTCACTGATTTTCTGTTACACAAGTGGCTCACTCTGCATACACGTGCCGTGCATGATACTTCCCACCAACTTTACCTATACAGAATGCACAGCATGTTTTACACACACACACACACATATTATATAATATATATATATATATATATATATATATATATACCCATATACAAATTAATGAATGGCATGGGTGTGTACATGGGTGAAGGAAAGAGTGAGAAATGTCCAAATGATGGTGCTGCAAAGAGTGGATGTGGGAAGAATCACAAGATTAGGAACACCTGGCTTGACAGTGACAAAAGCATACATTTTCAGTTTAAAATGAACCACCAGCATGTTAGATACTTTCCTTAACTTTGAGGACAGTTCCTGGTCATTTACAAAATGGAGAATACTATATTTCTTGGTTTTTGGGTGTTTGATCTCACGCTTGCAGCAAGGGGCATAAGGTCTTAATGACCATTCAATCACAGAAAAGTGGTAGTAGTTCATCAAGTGCATCTTGTGCGGTATACATAGGAATTCCTGTCTTGCCAAATAAATAGAGGACATCAAACCTGGTGCAGACTGGAAACACATCCAGACAACCCACCTACCGCCTGTGTAACTGGACCAACTGGTCAAGATGGACCAGATACTAGACTGGGAAAGATTAAAGCTCACATCCAAAGTAGAGACGCAGACAGTGCCATAGCTTTTCAAAATAAAATTAAATATACCTCTAAAGTGGTTGAAAATTTAATTTTAAACAGTTGATATGAAAAACATTTTTAACTGATGTCTTAACATCACATAATCAGTTCAAACTGCAACACATACTTTAATGACACTTAGTGTCTAAAGGCTCTAGAAACGTCCTGGATGTATCTTTAACTACATTCTCAATCTATTATGTATCCTACTACTTTTTTTGAAAGTTGCATTATCTGTCAGTTACAACATGGCGACAGTGTAGATGAAATGTCACACACGCACAGACATAGAAACAAAAGGTCATGTGAATTTGGCAGACATATATACATAGCACTGTCAAATAAACCCCATTAGATCAAAATAATAAGATATAAATCTATACATAATATTCAGAGCTGCTTGTATTCTGTTAGTGAATGATAGTTGTGGTGTTACAATGAAGAGATGATGGGAGGAAGGCTGAATATTGAACCAGGTAGTTACTTTCTATTCTTATAGATTTAAAGTGGGGGAAGTAAATGTAGAGTACAGCTGTAGCTTGGAGGGATAATGTAAGTGCTTTAGATCCTAAGCGCAACCAAAATGAACTGGTACTTGTTAAATAGAGGCAAATGGTCATGTACCAGGTAGGTGTCATGGCGTGTTTTAGGAGCACCAGGCAAGATAAAGGTATGAAATTCAAGGCTATTTCACCAATCCATTATACATATACACAGAAAACCAGTTGGAGAAAAAAAACTGGGGAGATAAAGATGTACACAATCCTCATTTATTGAAAATGAGTGGTCAGATGTCTGATAACACTGTGCAAGCTTCCCATTCTCCTCCTGATCTGACTGAGTTTGGGCTCCTGTGCAGAAGTCCCCTGTTTACTCATGACGCAAGACAAAAAAAAAAAAAAAAAACTTGAAAACTGTTCCTCCATCTTATCCTTCTGTTTAAGTCCATCTTTTCATCAGCTTCAAAGGGGACAGACAGCCAAGTGGTGGGTATTAAAACCAGGTGAGTGGTGGGGCAGGGGCCAGGGGGCGATGACAGTCATACAGATTTAGATGTCTTTGTTCAGTGCATTTTCTCTGTTGTGATCCATACATTTACTTTCAACAGTTCTGTAAAGAAAAGGGGAGAAATAACATCATATATAAGTACAATACACATTTAGCGTTTTCCCACTGCCTGTACTGATTTAGATCTTGTTACGATAATTTAAACATTTATTATTATTCAACGATTGTTCATAATCAAATAATAATTCTATTGGAGTGCTTTGATTTTGATCATTTCAGTAGAGGTAGGTAAAGTTTGACTATACAATACAGAGACAAATACCTAGTTCTTTTATTTTTCCTTGTGAAGAGCTTCTATGAAGGCTTCAAGTTTCTCCTGGATCTCACGAACTTTCTCTGCAGAAAAGCAAACATAATGGGTTTGTTAGTCCCCTGACAAATACACAAATTATGGACACAAACAAGTACAAAAACACTATTAATACAGGCACAATGTCGATTAATTGCTAATTTTTGCTAATTAAGTAATTTTTTGCTAATTAAGTAATTTTTCAAACAGAAGCCAAACATTCTCTGGTTCCAGCTTCTCAAATGTGAGGATTTGCATTTTGACAATACGAGATATTTGAAGACGTCAACAAATAGACTTTTTGTTAAATTCAGGGAAGTTTGCCAGCTATCCATTTTGTATGTGCTCTGGGGAAAAAAAAAAATAATAATAAAATCTGGTTTTCCTCCACAGCCCGGGCTCTGTCAAATGCAAAATAAAAAAAAGCTGTGTGGACCTTGCCACACAACATTGTTCCAGCCAATCAGCAACAGGTGCTGTTAGTGCTCGTGCACAGGAGCAGTGGGAGAGAGAGTTCTATACACCGGCACATTTGAACATACTGGACTCACGGCAGCGTGAAGAAGAGATGGCCGAGAAACGGTTAAAGAGGAAAAAGTATGAACAGAGAAGAAGTTATATGACTAGGCAAGGGCAACAGCGTTTCAACCCTGGAGAAAACCCCGGGGTTTTTGAATTCTCTACCTTTAATAGACTAAACGATTAACTGATTACCTGAAATAATCTGTATAATTTAAAAATAAACCAGTTATTTGTCTGCCCTAGCGAGACAAGATGTCTTTGGGTTTTGGACTGTTTCTCATCTGACATTACATTAAGCTCAAGTTTGAAAACAATTTTCAAACTTTAATATAGATCACATGATTTAAGGATCATCACGAGTGAGTGTGTGTTGTTTTAATTTTTGTTGATTTCTAGTTAAGCAAGTCACTAAAATATCCTAAGTACTAAAGAAAGCAACGTCAGGATGGGTAGCGGGTCAAAAATCTGCTCTTTAAACTGGGAAAACAATTAACAACATTATTCCCTTCCCTACTGTACCATATATTTCTGCAGGTGGAAATTCCCTATAATTTTTCACCAACACACCAGATGGTCCCCTCTGACAGTGACAGCCAAACCTCAAGGCAGACCTCCTTCACATATCTGATGATGAAGGCTTGTGTACCCTTTCCCAGTTAGTACAGACCACATCAAAGCTCTCCCCCTCCCCTTTCCATGGTATGTGCCTCACGGGCACGTTGATAATGGACAGAAGGAGATACCATAAGAACAACATATCACATGAAAGAGGGAAATCTACTGGAAGAACAGTCTGTCACTTCTTTTCATGATTCCGTTCCTATTGTCCAAAGACTGCATAAGACGAGCAGTCCTTCCACCCAACATGTACGGTCACACGAGACGAGCAAGCCATCTAAAGCAGTCCTAATCGCTGATTAAACAGTGGCTAAAGGAAGTCTGTGGGCCAACAGAGAAAAGGAAGCAGTTGCTCGCAATGCCAGCTGCACCCTCCAGGCCTGGCTGGCTCTCCGGCTTCCCTGTCACCCTCGCTAATCTGTCTGGATCTCCCCCAAGCACAAACTCAAACACCGCCTCCGAAGAACAAACTAGCACTGCTCTATCATGATCAATCAGCCACACGAGATCCATAGGCGACCCTATTGTAGATTGTTTTCCTACGAGGAGGCCCAATGAAAACACAGTTTTAAAAAGACTTGTCCGTTTTCAGGGATATAAATCATTGTGGTGTGGACCTCAGAGCAACAGTGTCCTAAGTGTCCATTTCAAGTCGGCACAAAGGTGATAACTGTGTGCATGCTTTGGAGTGAAACTAAATATCGTACTCAGGGGCTTGTGTGCAGCCCCCTTTTGATGGGAGCACGGCTGGTGAGGTATCCTCTTCCTGACAGATGAAAAGCATACTTTTTTTTTTCTTTTTTAAGAGAAATGCAGGCACACCCCCTCACACGTCCTGAAACACAAGAAGAGCTGAGAAATACTGGATAACACAAGAGCTGAAGCAAACACACCCACACACACCTGACACAAATGAACTGACAGCCAGAAAAGCTTTGCCATGAAACACACACAGACACAACCACCCCAGTGTCTTGAAACACAGCAAGAGCTGTACAGTCATGCCACCTCCACCTCTTTTCACCTTCCTACTCATTTACCTCTGGCAGGTGGCAAAAAAAACAAAAAAAAAAACAAAACAAAAGAAAAAAAGCCTCAGCCTTTGATACTCTGTTAATACATTCTGGCAACTCAGGACGTTAGGTGGAGATTACAACACCTAATGGAGGTATTAAAGGGGCCTGTCGAGGGGCACGCTGACAAGTCACTGCAGCAGGTGTGGGGTTGAATGAAACATAACCCTGCGGTGCGCCATTCCAACACGCAGCCCACCGCAGGGCACGGCTCAAAGGCAACTGACAGAGTTCAGCCATGTGGGCTACGTGCCCTGACCACAGGATAACATAACTCAATCCAAGCCAATCAGAGCAGGATTACCAACATCTGTCCAACCTGAAGAAAAAGAGATGTGAGGTTCGAGGGGAGGAGTTTTAGTTGGTGTGAGGGCAGGAGCGTACAGACTGTCAGAGCATCAAAACATGGGAAATCCCCTGGCTCAAGCTTCAAAGCTTCTAACTGGGTTTAGATGTGGCTGATGATTAAGCACTCTATGAAGCCTCAGCGTTTCAGATGATTAACGCGGGTCAAACATTAAGGCTCCCGCCAACTGTCGGGCAGAGACAAAAAGTTCTGGTAAATCACTGGGGGCAGGAGTGGTCTAACGGTTAGATTGGCGGCTTGTGATAACAAAAGACACAGGTTTGATTCCCCAGATTGGCTGGGAAAGCTTACGGTGGGAAAATCACTCTTCTTCTTCAACACCTGCTGCTGAGGCAGCTGAAACCCATTCTTTGATCCAGTGGAGCACAGCCCAGAACTGGCGTTGTATAGGGCATCACTTGTTTAGTCACATTTTTATCAGAATCAGAGTCACACATTTGCCTTAGAAGGCTAATATTTAAAAAATATTTATCTTTTATCCACATTCAGGCCAACTTTAGCAGGAAAAATCTTTCTTCTTAATGCTATAAACCATTGAGCAGTGTTTTGGTGTCTAAAAAGCCTCCAAACTTATGAGTCTGTTACTCAAACTGGACATCCTGGGCTGGATCATATTTAATTGTCCAGATAGTACCTGAAGTAACAAATTAGAAAAACATAATTTTTGGACAAACAAAATGAAGTAATTATTACATAAGTAAGAGTCAGAACATGTACAGCAACTTCCAGTCAGCGTAAGGACCTAAAGCACAAACCCTCCTGTATCCTCCGTGTGTGTCACAATGTTGAGAAACCAACCACCTATCCTGATATACATTCTGGTTTGACTTTTACCTGTGTCTGGCTATCTGTGTAATATGAGTTCCACCATGACAGAGAACCCTGTGTAGATCAGAACAGCAAAACACATCAGCCATTCCCTTACAGCGGGATGCTTAATGACTTTAAAATGAACCCTCAGCAGCTTTAAGGAGCACAGGAGGCCACCGGTGGCTGTGAATGGCGTCTTTCAGAAAAGCCAATATTCTGTGGGTAAAAACTGTGAGAAACAGATATTTATGTCCCTCAGCACCATCTGTTTGCCACCAAAAGACAGCAGCAAGAGAAAGAAAAGGCCACAACAAGGCTTTCTTTTCACCATCCTGTGGAAATGCAACAAGAGAAAAAAAGTGGACAGAGTCACCATTGCCTGTTCCTCACTGAGCAGTGGGAGTAGCGCACTAAAACTCCATTTAGGCCCCTGTTTACCTAAGAGATGAGCCCCAAAACACAGTAATTCAACCGCTCGCCCCTTTATCTGGTCATGAATATTCCCATAATCCTCTGGCCTCTATCCCAGAGGCCCCTTCTATAAGATGCTGGGTGTTGTGCGGGTTTGCAAGGGTGGAGGGACTCTGGCCCACTGAAAGAGAGAGAGAGGGGAGCCTTTTCGCCCAATCCCCTCTTTCAATGCCTTCTCTCGGCTGATCTCCACATGAAATGATATCTCATTCACTCTCACTCTGTAGAGTCCCCTAAGCCTGCCACGGCCGAAGCGCTGGCAGAAGGAGGGCTGAGCCACAAAGCCTTTAATTGACCTGTAATTAGACTGCGAAACTGCATGGCCCTGCTGGACAAGTAGCCAACACAGAGGAAAGGGAGAACAGAGGAGAGAAAAAGATGAGAGGGAGAGGACAGGGAGGCCTGCATCTTACTGTGAGATAGAAAAAAAAGCTAATCCCTTTACTGTGGGAGATGGACACTCTTCTGTAAAGAAAGGGTGGCGGCTGTTATGAAAAAGTGGCAACACCAGATGAAGTTTGGTGCCAAGGTTTAGGCTACTTTAGCACGCTGATCTTAAATTTTTTTTTACTGACAACTGAGCAACAGTTCACAGCATGGTCACATGGAGAGAGTGGAGCCAAGGGCTTGGTTCCCGTCCCAACTTGTCATCATTCATAAAGAACCTTTTTATATATCACGACTGCCAGGGTCACAGTGTAGGTGGGGACACTGAACATTTAAACGCTCTGCTGTTTCCTTCTTTGCAAGCCAATCTCTTAATGTAACAAACAGAAAAGACCTTTTTCCCTCAGCATGCTGCCTGATTTGTCACTAAATCTGGATTGTCAAGCTATAAAAGTGGGCCATGGGAGACATGGACACAGGGAGAGCGGGGATGTCAACGGCCCAAACGCCATGTCAGTGACAGAGCAATGAATCAGCCCCCTCTTATCTAGAAAACAGATGCCAGGGAGAGAGCAGCCCAACCTGGGGAAAGACATACGTCGGTCTGAACAGGTCAAAGCTTGGGGTCAGCCAGAGGGCAGACTAAACAAAAACAGCAAAATGCATGGGGAAAATCCTTTGAAAGAGCCAGGTGATGACTGTTGTTGGGTTGTGCAGTACAGGTTTTATTGACAAGCACTGCCTCTGCCTTTAAAGAGAAGATTTTACTGCAGGGGGTTATAAAGATGAGGGCAGCAAT